TCCGGTTCAGTTCGGTTTCGGATACCCGGCTGGGTTGCAGTACTCTAGTTTCAATGTCGAATATATTAGCAATAGATATGTAACAAAAAATTTTATTATTGATACTAATTACAAATATAGTTCTACCATTTGAGAAATACTTTCCTTCCTTCCTTGCATAATCACTCAAGAACAAGGACATAAATTAATCTTTTAGTAACCTTTGAAAGATTCCACATGGTAATTAGTATTGCTCAATAAACAAAAAAAAAAGAAACAAACCAGTATCTTATTTGTTATTGAATGAGAAATATTACTATAATGTTATGATTAATCTAATGAATTTTTGTCAGTAATTTTTATATAATAATAAAAATAAATGTTCTGAAGTTTTGAATAGAATGAAGGCGTTTTATATAGAAGAAAAACAAACAATTTTACGATTGTACGTTATCATATAGAATTTTCAATTAGTTCCATCTTAGATTAACTTACTTTTAATGTAAAATCAACAATACACAATACTGAAAGGAGCAAAGAACTCGATAATGATCGCTTGAAAAAAAAACGAAAATTCTTCAAGATTGAGGCAGAGATGTTACCCCCCCCTCTCACTCAATACATTCCTGGATAACTCACATAATCATAGAAAAATGTTTCTATCTGATTAATTACTAATTATCATTAAGATTTTAATTCAAAATAAAATATCTGCTCTAATCTCCGATTTCACAAAAAATATTCAATTTTAATACATACTGTTTATTCGAATAATGTTCGTGAGTTGAAAGTCCAATAGCAAGAATAACAATAAGTAATGGAAATCCATATGCATATAATGAATAAGCTAATATTCTAATATGATCAATTTTTAAAACATGTTTTAATGCAATTATTAATTCAATTCCATCAACAAACATCCATGAAAATGTTGCAAGAAGAAAATAATGAAGTAATATAGTTATTGTTCGACAACCAGACTAATTGAAAACAAAATTAAATAAATAAACTATTTTAAAAATATAATTTTTTACTTTATATTTAATTTGATTAATACCAAATAGATATAATAATTGAGCAATTAATAAACAAATTGACATATTTATATGAAGAATATTACGAACAATCATTAAATCATTATCAATATCCAAACGACGTCTAATGATAATTAGAAAAATAATAATAAAACAAAATCATGATATTCAAGATCAAGTTTAATATAGACTCAATACAGTTCCTAATGTATGTCTTGAAATACTTCGATAAACTTGAAAACAATTATTCTCGAGAATCTCATTCAAAATTATAAATAAATTTATGTAAATGTACTACATTCATAATACAGAATTATCGATCTTGTCGATTTTGAATTCCTATTCAAAGTAAACTTTACATTCAATTCGGTAAAATGTAATCTTTAACTCAGATGATTATAATTTTCAAAAAATAAAAGAAATTAATTTTTATTATTACCTCATCATCAATATAATTATCGTCAATAATAAACAGATAATCGATATTACACATCCAATTTTTGATATCAATGATAATCGATTTATATGTATATTTGTTATTGACTAAAACCAAAAAAATAAATTTTTCATTGATTTTATTTTTCTTTAAATCAAATAAACCTTTTCAAATATATTTTGAGCATTCATTAGAACAGCAAATGTTGATAAATGATTACATGAACATATTGAATGAGTTAAATTCGATGATAATAAATAACATCCATCTGTACTCCATTGAATATCATTTCTATTAAGATATATTTATATATTCAATTTTTCTTTTATATAAACTTTTGACTCCAGAACAGGATTAGTGGCGGAGCCAGGACTTTGAATTGAGGGGGCTCAGTAGAGCCCATCGGATCCAAGAATTTCTGGACCCGGACCCGGACCCGATTGGCTCTAGGGCTCAGTCCCCTCTGAAGATCCTTTGAATCCCCATTGGCGAATGAAATACACGCTTTAAAAATTTTCCTGAGGTGGCTGAGCTCCTCCTGGCTCCGCTATTAAACAGGATATATTTAGGCTTGCAGCTGAAGCCTATGGTCAATGTATTATCAAAAGCGATCATTCCTCCGGTTTTCGCCATCTTATATCGTCTTACGACACCATTTTCTTGGGCTTAGGTCATTGAGATCTCAATAATGGGCACCATTTTCATTGCATGCTACCGTATCTGAAGTGAAGATGACGCCCTTCTATGAAAATCTTAACGACACATTTCCTATTAAACAGCAGAAGTCTTCATAGATCTCGTTCTGGAGTCAAAAATTGTTGTGAAACTGGTTTTTTTTTCTTGTTCACTTACTTTTTAATGTTTTTCAAATAAACACAAGTTGATATTTGATTAGAATTATTCAATGGATTCTATATTTAGAATAAATTTCATATTTTTTTTTTCAATGAATTTTTTTTTCTATACTTACCAAATGTCGAAATATAATTTGAATATTTTCTAGATTTTTTTGTTTAATATTTAAATTAATAATATGACTATTTAATTTATTTGATGATTGATTTATATTTAAATATTCATCTAATTTTGAAATAATAAAAAATGTTGAATTAATTTTATTATTAATTGAAATTATTATTGATCGATTTTTATTTTCATATTCTTGAGAATTAACAAAAAATTCTAAAGCCAAAAAAAGAAATTATTATTATTATTGTTG